TCTCGATCACCCAGCATCCAGGTCACCTGAATGGGTTGAATATCTGCCAGAATCTGGGCTTCTAGCCTATGAATGTTAGGGCAGGAATTGGAAGATGTCATCAGTACAGATCCGGCCATTATCATAGTTGGATATAAAAAATATATCCCCCATGCAGGAGAATATGAAGCAATATAAAGTTTCATGAACTTACTCGAGGATCTGCTCTTCTTGTTCTCTTTTCAAGTTCACTTCAACCGGCTTGATGAAGATTATATCTGCTTTGTAGGCCGGTATAGCTATGTATTAAATTGATAAAATAGAATTCACTTAATTTTGTTGATATTTCTGTATATGTTTTTTAATGTCTGTTTTCTTTTTTATTCTTGCAAATATATTATTTCTTGTAAAATCTTTGTCCAATTATTTTATTTTTCTCATGTTTCTATTATTAACCAACTTTTTAATTAATACATCTCAATAAAAAATTTGGCATACCTCACTTATTAATTTCATTGTATTAAAGCATCAATGGTTAAGGTGGTGAAGGGCTTTTTGTACATACTTACACAAAATAAAATTAAATAATCTCTGATTTTTATTATTAAATAATCTAATGATTTTAGGCGATGTTTTACTTCAAGTTAAATAAAAATTTCAGTTTCTAGTGTACCTTCAACAAGAACAGTCGCACTGGATGTGATGGTCTTGAGAAAACGCTTTCCCGTCATCGGCTCTATCACCTCTCCCGTGGCCATGCAGGTGTACTCACCGGAATCTGGTTGGCTGGCTTTACGAATTACAAGACGGGCCACTCCGGTGTCTTCCAGGTACGTCATCTCAACTCGATCCGATTGCACCAATTCCTGATCACCCACCTTCCAGGTCACCTGAACAGGCTGAATATCCGCCAGAAGCTGAGCTTCTAACCTGTAAATTCGATAGTACATTCTATTTAATTTGATTCTGGTAGTTTAGAATGCTATTTCATTGTTAAATGCTCACATTTAACCTTAAAATATAATCCAGTTTTCTTCTTCA